ACTTGCCTATTTAGAACTTAATTTTCTATTGAATTGGTTGGGTACATAGATGTGGAATGGAATCAGGTTTTGACAACCCCCCTCTCTCTCTCTCTCTCTCTCTGTTTTTGTAGTTGCATTTTCCTCTGTTTTCCATTTCTTTACTTGGTTGTGCTTTGTAACTCAATATTGCACTGTAGTCTTGTTTCTTCAATGATATATCAAATTTTCCATTTTTTTTATAGACACTTTGTATTTCTTTTAGAGTTTTTGCTATTTAGCCATGTTGTTTAGTGCAGGAGAAGCTGCGTAATTGTTGCACCTGCGATTGTGGTTTTTGTTGTAAAAACTTCACAGGTGGTTATTCAATTTAAGCTCTGCCTTTGTTTTTGTTTTTTTCCATTGTAGTTGGTCATTTTAGATTAATACTCTTTCAATAGTAAATAGTCACATTTGAATGATTTAGTGTTTGGTGTTTAAAGCTGATAAGTGTTGAATTTTAAGATTTGGGTTGGTTTATGAAATCTGAGGTTATGCAGAAATCTGTGATTTTGTGTTATCTTCTGGACCAGAAGACCTAGTTTGGATTTATATTTTGATCTTGTTTTTTAATAATTAGACATGTCAATGAGCATTTGAAAACTGGTTCCATACAAATTGGAGTTAAATTGAATTTTTGGCAAATTTTCAAAGTAGTTGTTATGTTGCAGGAAGCAGAAAACTCTACAGCCTAGTCTGTTTTAGATTTTGTTTTTGACATGCTTCCTTAATTTCGAATGCCATGAAATTTTTATGTGAGGAAGTTTGATGTGTCTAGTTATGATCTGTAAAGTTTCGCACCATTTTGACTCAAATTGAATTTTTTGTGAATTTCCCAAATTGAAGTGTTTCTGCCCAAATTGTTTAACAAAATATTTATTTGGTCATCTATGATTTATTGAAAACTACTCCATACTCTATTTGTTGAATTGTCTTTTTGCTTAGCAATGGTTGAAGACCAAATTGAAGTGCCTAGAAAATTTGGAAGGTCGTGCTATGTGCTGAAGAAAACTGTGTCTCGTAGGCTTGAAAATATGATAAAGAATTCTAGTTTTTCACTAGGATCATACTCTGTTAGCTTGTGTTTTCACTTTTAAAGCATTTTTCATGTTATTTTATTTCAATTCAATCTTGTTTTTCTACATTTAGATCTCTTTTTATTTCAATTCTGCATTGTATTCTAGTGGAAACTGAAAAAGTTGTCATTCAGTGTTTCTATATGCATTGAAAATATTAAAACCAATGAGCGATTGCCTTATTTGGGTTTGTGGTTCTCTTTATCTTATAATGTGTTTAGAACAATGCCATTTAGGAGTCTAACTTTACTAAGGTAATATTCTGTTTTTGCATATGAGATTATTTGAGGAGGTGGAAGGATTTGGTTTGGGGTTTTGGACAGAGGACCATTTGAGGTAAGAACCTCTTCTTCTCATTAGCACTTGTTTTCTTATTAACAACTATAGTGGTTGTCAATGTCATTGTGGTGTTGTTTGTTTAAGGGTATTAAAATGGAATACATGTTTTGTATTGTGTTGAGAAGTTATGCAACCCATGTTGGTTAAGGTGTGGATTATACTTTGGATTTTATGATTTATGTTTTCTAATGGGTTTGTGCAAGATTTCTTGTAATTGTGTTATCGAAAATTGTTTGTTTTTGGTCTCTATATATTCTTTATATTTAAATTCTCTTGGTTTTGGCATCTTTTTGACCATTGGCATTTCCTTGTTTTGTTTCTTTTGTAAAGGAAGATTGATGACTTTGAGAAGATCAAGCAACAATTGGCATAGTGCTTGGGAATTCCACCATATTAGATCATAGTCCCTATCCCACAATGTTAAAGATCATGACCACAAAACTTGGAATTACAAAGGCATAGTACACATGCATTTTTCCAGTCGAAACCTAGTCTTAGAGTGGGGGAATAATAACTGCAGAACTTGGGTTTACCAAGGGCAAGAATATATGGAGCTTGGCCTCCAATCTTTGAGTGGAGAGTTCTTCACACGTTTATGTCACTATGTAATGTGTACTTGAATAATTAGTACGCTTGTGTACTTTTGAATGAGAGAAACTTTTATTCATGTCATTTTCTATTGATCTATTTACCTTCTTTTATTTTTTGAAATTGCAAAATGTTGATGAACAAAAGGTTAATATTATCACAAAACAGAATATAAATAAAAACATTATTAACATTTAAAATAACCATATTTTAGCGACCAACCAAGTAAGCTTTAGCGACCAAATCCAGTAGTCACTAGAACCTATTGGCGACGAACATGGTTGGTCGCCCAATCCTTCCCCAATTCGCGGTAAATTTTTGGTATTTTAGTGGGAACTCGTCTGTATAGGCGACCAAC